CTACTACTACTACTGCTACTACATGTAGTCACCAGAGAGGCAGAGGTCCAGGCACACCCAAGACGTGGCATCGACCCTGGCTCAAGCCGACCTCAGGACTCCGAAAGAGCCACAAGGGCTTAGGGTTTGGGGTTTGGGGTTAAGGGTTAAGGGTTTAGGGTTTAGGGTTTAGGATTTAAGATTTAGGATTTAGGGTTCAGGCTTTAGGGTTTAGGGGTTAGGGGTTAAGGCTTAAGGGGTTTAAAGGTATCTGCAGCATTCTTGCGATCCGCATACTATGATCCGCACCGTGGTGCAGACACCGCAGGAGTGAGGGCACCTTGCACAGGCCAACAACTGGGATGCTGTTGAGAAACTTTTGATGATTCCTATAAGAAGGAAACCCTCTGACTTATGTAGCCATATTCTCCCTAGTTTCCATGGCGTTTTCCATATTCTTTTCCATTTGATTCTCCATTATAGGGGGATGATATAGTAACTTAACTTAAGTTCCTGAACTGTAAACCCTGAACAGTAATTAGTTTCCATTTTATTTTCCATTATCCCTATATAAACCCGATATTAAGGTAACTTAGGTTAAGTTCCTTAACAGCAACCCAGGAAGGCACCATGCCAACCTCTGATCGTGAACTCGGGAGAGCACAGGCTGTCCATGAACTTGGGATTGATGGTGCACCTCAGCTGGCAAGAGAGCGGTTAAGGGTTTAGGGTTTAGGCTTTAGGGTTAAGGGTTTAGGGTGAGCAAGATGGTAATCTCCCGATATAGGGGGACCCCAATATAGACCCTCACATACTACACTCCGCACTACAGGGGCTCCCAGAAAGGTACCCCTACTTTTGGGAAACCCCCAGGTTCTCTCCCAAAAGCAACACTGCAGCTCTGGCAGGCTTGACGGACAAATGCACCACCTGATGCATCTCAAACCACTCCTCGCCTTTCTGTAGCCGCTTGGAGTGCTTTTAGAATATCCATTGGGTACTGCCCCCAGTAACAGTATTGGGTACTGCCCCTAGTAACAGTATATAATAAGGCTAAAATTAAGGGCTACACGCTTACGTAGTGGGCAGTGCCTATCGTATCGATGTGCAAGTTCTGCATGCATCTGGGCCTAGCATGTCTGAGGAGCACGCTCCCCGGCGGCCGCCCAGTATTCGCACTGAAGCCGGCGGTCCATGCATTGTTCCCCCAGAGGCCCCTGCCAGGCTTCATGTACCATGTCCTATAGTCCCCCTTTAGTAGATAGAATATGGCTGTGGGTATATTATAATAAGATTCCCATATACCCCATATTCCATCTAAGGCTTCAAAAAACCATGTCCTCCTGAACCAGGAAGGGTTTGGGAGCATTGGGGTGTGCCAAGCCACCTACCCCGCGGAACTGTGCCCCATCAAGGACACGGTAGTTCATCCTTTGAAGAAATTTGAATGCAGAATGGTCCAACAAATAGACAAAGGTTCCCTGTTTTGGAGGAGATCTCCGTGATCTGAGCGCTTGGGTACGATTTGGGCACACCGCGCGGATAGCCTTGGACTTAGGGCATTCCTAAGTCTTGTAGCTGCCACTGCTGCGCCGTGACTACAGGCCCCATTGCGCTTGCTACTGCTACAGCTGCAATCAGATCAAGATTTTACAGTACTGTATCACTGACCTTATTCTTGTTATTGAGCCCTTGTCACCGCCATCTTATTATTCTACATGAGCCATGTTCTAAACTCCTAATATCCCCCTTAGTAATCCCTGTACTACTCCCCTATAGAATCCCCTGTAGAACCCCTTTGAGCAGCTTAGACTATAGCTATAGCTCATATTAAGATGGTGACTGTTAATGTTAGGATCATCAACTCTACTGTAAAAACCATGGGCCCCTAGTATGAGCCCTTAACCCTTGGATCCCCATATACCTATTATATACCATTATATACCCTTAAGTGTCCCTGGAACCTCCCTCAAAGGGTTTAGGGTCCATATTAGGGGCCCAGACTTTCAACCTTGAATTAACAGTGCCATCAGCCTACAGGATGGTGCCTGGCGCTCGAGGCACAGCAGCGCTCGGTCGCTTGAGACCGGGCTTAGGCTCAAGTACCGGGTGACCTGGGAAGTGGGCGGGCACTGAGCACTGCAAGGACAGTCCTAGGGTCTGGATTTCCCTAAACCCTAAATCCTAAACCCTAAACCCCAAAACCCTAAACCCTTTTTCTTTGTTTTTTGTGGCACCTTTGCTCAGGGTTTAGGGTTGAGGGCTTAGTCCCTGGAACATAGAAAGGAAAGGAAAGCACGGATTCCTTGACAGGAAGCAAAACATCCTGAGACACTGCACAACTCCCCTCTTTACATTTCACTACCATCCCCAGAAGCATTACATCTCCCAGCAAATGAGAAAGGATCAGTCCCGCTGCTATGAAGAAGCCCTCGACCCAAAATTCAGAAAACTATGAATCCTAGAGCCCGAAGTCGAAACTCTAAATCCCTAAACCCTGAATGCCCTTGCAGGTGATCCTTTCCAACGGAGGCCGAGACCCCGCTGTCCACAGTGACGTTGCCCGCCTCTACCTCGGTACTAGGAGTGCTTGTCGAAATCTGCACGATCATAAGAACACCGTTGAGGGATGTGTTGGATTGTGAGGACAGCCGCTCTAGTACGGTGGAAACCTTGCTGGATAATCTGTGGTCTCAGTTGCAAGATGAGTGATTGACAAAAGCCAGTACTACCAACACCCTCATGACCAAGGTAACAGCCATAGCAACAGAAACAAGCGGGCAAGGTGGTGAGACGTCCAACATGCCCCTACACCTTTCCGGCCTCAATCACTCTCGGCCCCGCACCAGCTCGTCACCACTGGCCTGCAGCGACCTGCATTCCTTGGAAATGCGCTTTGTGCAAGCATCTTGTGCTGCTGCGTTTTCGCTGTTACACTCGCAGGCTTCTCAGAATCATGGGCCTTCCCCTCGTGGGGCAGTGTACTTTCACAATCATACAAACAAACACCAGACTCTAAAAAGTCTCTAAATTGAGGCCCACAACCTGGAGGAAAACATTTCCGTAAGCTCGCATCCGCGCTCACCGTCTGCCAGTCCGAGAAGCAGATCACCACCTGGTCCGCTGTAGAGCACGGTGTAATCATACAGTTTCAGGATGTCCAAAACATTGCCGGACCCTTAACTTACTGGGGCTCAGTAGGGAATAAGGGGCTGATGGGGATTATGTAAGGATTGTGTTCCCTTATTCCCTGCTGAGCACCAGCAAGTTAAGCCGCAACAACCCCCCAAATGAGCTGTAGTCTAAACTCCTAGCATCCGTCTTACCTATAATACTCCCCTACATAGTCCCCTAGAGAACCCCTTTAAGGAGATCAGACTCAGACTACAGCTCAAATGGCACGCATCAAGCTGTCCGCACCCTCTCTGGCGAAGCCAGGGAAGTTGCACTCAGGAAGTCAGCCTGTCGGCAAAGCAGTTTGGGGTTGGGGTTTGGGGTTTAGGGTTTTAGTGTTTACGGTTTAGGGTTTAGGGTTGAGGGTTTAGGGTTAGGGGTTTAGGGCGTGGGGTGTAGGGTGACTTGGGGGAAGTATTGCAGCGAGTCTGAGCAGGCGATCATGATCATGCAGGTCTTTCTGCGGGGGGTAGTCCTTCATTCCTTATGCTGGGGCTTCCAAAGCAAGGCTCCCTCTCATACACCAACGCACGACAATGTGTTTCTTCCAGGCGCCAGCCCCTTTTTTTTGGAAACCTTACACCCTAAACCCCACATATATAAAATATCTATATATATATATTATATATCTCTCTCTCTCTCTCTCTCTCGTTATACCCTTAAACCAGGACTCTCATATATCCTTATACCCTAAACCCTAGACCCTAAACCCTTGTAAACCCTAAGCCCCCTTTAAAAGGGGGACCCTCCTATGCCAAATACCAGGTAGTCTCGCAGTATCCAACTCATCCCACCTGCTCGCTCACCCGCACCGCGCTTTGGTTGGTCAGGGTGGAACCTGCAAGAGACTTTTGCCTGGGGACTTTTGGGATATAGGGTTTAGGGTGAAGTTAGATTTAGGATTCAGGATTTGTGGAGATAGGTGGAGGGCCTTGGGGTTTAGAGATGTAGGCTGACGGGGTGTTTGTTAGGGGCCTGTGGTAGGTTTCCACAAATAGGGGAGCCCCAACAGAGATCCCGAAGCACTAACCCCTAGAAGGGGAACCGGGTTGCACGGAACCTCTTATGGGGCTGCCCTAAACCACGGAAACCCTAAACCGTGTTGCCCGGCCTGAAACCGCGAGCAGGTGGCAGGTTGTTGCGCGGCCCTGGCCGAGCACAGCAGCGACGGACAATTTGAAACCCTAGGCAGGTATATTAAGCTTAGTACGAAACGCTAGGATTATCTAGAGTTACGGGGATATGGGTTATAACCTGGGTGTAACTCGTGTATTTCCTACCCTAAACCCAAAAACCTAAACCCTAGACCTTAAACCCTAACCTGCCAACCCCCCGCCTGGGTCGCGACTGCGCCACATGCCACAACATGGGCTGAGCCAAGGCTTGCAATAGCCTGCATCCAGCAAGTACCCATAACCGGGATTATACTATAAAATTAAGTGCCCCATTTGGGAGTACCCATGCCCAGGAGTATAATTCATACTTACATCAAATCTTGGGCCCCTTTTGGGGGATAACCGAAACAAGGATTATAGCATGTTGGGGTCTATGTTGGCCCTCCCCCGTGCCTCGAGCTACCACAACAGCCACCTGATGTCGTGAGCTAGGGAGCGCACAAGCCCGGATAGGGTTCCCGGCACCACAAACTCCGTTCCCCTGCCACGCGGTTTAAGGCTTAGCGATTAGTGTTTAAGGCTTATGGCTTAGGGTGAGGGATTAGGGTTAGGGCTAGGGTTCCGGGTTTCGGGATTAGGGTCTAAGGTTTAGGGATTAGGGTTTGGGAGTTCCGGGGTTGGCAGGGAATGGAGAATGGACCCCGAAAGCATTCCTCCAACATCTGCACGAAAACAACAGCTTCCAGTTTCCGTTCTGTTCCCTAAACTGTAAACCGTAAACCCTCTAGTAGCTTCCATTTTCTCCATTCCCTAGACCCTGAAACCTAAGCCCCATAGCAATTGTCATTCTCTCTTCCATTCTGTAGGCCCTAAACCCTCAGCCCTGTAGTAGTTTCCATGCCATTTCCATTCCTTCATTCCCTTCCAACCCTAAACCCTACACCTTAACATTCCCTAAGAACAGCCCGCAAAATCGCGGAAGCCGGGCAGGGCGAGGGCGTTTGACACCCCAACATCCAGGATGCGGCATCGCCAGGTGTCTGAGCCTAGCCCGCAAGGTTTAGGGTTTAGAGTTTTAAGGTTTTACGGCTAAGGGTTTAAGGTTGAAACACTTGCAATGGACATGTCTGACGCTCCGTGTGACCTGACCAGCATTCATAGCCAGAATGGGGAAAGCCAAACCGAAACAATACTGGAACTACTCCTGGGACCTCTAGTTTAAGGGTCTAGGATTTGCGCTATGCCAACTCTTTGGCGTGTAGTAGGGCATGGGGGATGAGATCATAGCGTGGGCCATTATGAGGGACTATATGGGTACTAGAGGTATAGGGATTATTGCTAGGGACTAGAAGGCTAAACTGAAAGCCCTACACCCTAAAACCTTAACCCTGTATATTCCAGAGGTCCAAACCCCCACTCTGGACCCTCAACCCTTATCCCTAAACACTGAACCCTAAACGGTAATTTAAGTCCCAACAATCACGCCGGGGCCTTGCTGGAAACAAACGGCTGCCCGATCTGCCAAGTTCGTAAGAGCGACATGGTAGGTGTCAGCTGAACCTTGCTGCACTTCTCTGGGTTGCTCTTAAGGAACTTAGAATGAGTTAGCATAATATGGGTATATAGTACATAATGAGGTTTTCATATCATTATGATTGTAACTTATGTTAAATTCCTTAACGGCAGTGCAGTTTTTCGGTGACACAACGTAGTAGCTTCCATTCTGATTTCCACTTATCATGGAAAACCAAATAGATACTACCTTGTGCTAAACCCAAAACCACCTTATCCTAAACCCTAAACCCTCTAGACAGTAGTTTCCATGCTGAGTTCTACTTATACTGGACATGCAAATGGAACCATCTGAGTCCTGGACTAAATTTGTAGTATATCCCTTAATAGGGCCCCCCCAAAACCCTGTATAGTCCCCTATAATATAGGTCTCCCCAATTTAGTCCGTACGTAGCTCATGTGGTTTCGCAACCCGAAAAAATGCTCTCAGAGCCGAGCTTAGTAGCAGCTCGGCACCCTGGCCGCTCAGGGCAGCGCACCCAAAGTTTAAACATGTAGGGTTCAGGGTTTAGGGTTTAGAGGTTAGAGTTTAGGCCCTTTAAGGTTTAGGGGTACAGCGTTGAGGGTTTAGGGCTACAGTCAACATTTCCTACATAATTTCGTGGACATGGGCAAGGACTATATCAGGAACTATACTAACTACAAGAGGAACCCCTATGTTCACTGTTCAGGGTCCCTTCATGAAGCTAAAGTTGACAATTGCTCATTTCACATCATGGGATCTCATAGTCCCCCCGAGCGAAATAGACCCCAAATGACGCCAGACTCGAGTTCGAGGCGTATTTACGCCTTACCTGAGCCATAGTCTAAGCTCCTCATATCCCCCCTTAGCAAACCCCATAGCAGTCCCCTATATAATCCCGTATATAGCCCCTATAATCCCTTATATAACCCCTCCTGGTGAGGAGGTCAGACTCTAGCTCATTTTAGCTCATTTGAGGCCGTAAAGTAAGGGGTATTGGTTAGGAGGACCCCCCCACCCTGCAATAGTGGTATGTTAGGAATATAAGAGGGCCCATATATAATCACTATTATCCCTCATAGTCACTTTTCCTGGGTTTTGGGGTCCACCTAACGTATGACCATGGGGACCGCCTGCACCATGATGGTGCCAGACACGAGCTCCATGGCGCGGCACGACGTGCTCCCACCTGAATAGGCAAGATCGGTTTAGGGTTTCAGGGTTTTTAGGGTTTGAGGGTTTGAGGGCTTTGGGTTTAGGACATACTCTACTCTAGGGTTTAAGGCTTCCGACTAAAAAAGGCTTTTGGGTGAACATATGCATGTTTGTACAAGAGTGGAGAATCCAGGAGAAAAGCCAGGGGGGTTACAGGGATATGTAGACTCTAGCGCTTATGATCTTCTTGCTGGTTGTTAGTAGGATTGCGGACTACATGGTGGGGAGCTCTCAAAAATCCTGTTCCCCCGAATATTGTAGGTACCCAAAATAGGACCGCAATTTCTTAACAACCGCAAATTCTGGGGCTACTTTTCCTCCATTCTCCAGCGGCAACCACCAGCCTAAACCCTAAACTCTCGCAGACAGCAGGACCCACCCTGCAACTGAGCCAAGCGCCTGCGATCCGGTAGCAGGCAATCGCCTCCAGAGAGCAGGAAGATCACTAAGATTAAGGGTTTAGGCTTTTAGGATTGCTGTAAGGATTAGGGTTAAAGGGCAAGTTTAGGGTCTGGGGCCAGCTTAGGGTTTCGGTAGCAGGGAATGGGGGAATTGATCGGAATAGCCTCAGATTCCCAACAAAGAACCGTAGACCCTAGGGTTTAGGGTTTAGGGTTTAGGGTTTAGGTTGGGCACTGCCCCCCCTCAGTAACAGTTGGATAATAACTCTAATATGGTTATACATAGCCCTTAATAGGGCCCCTAATATAGACTGTTCCTGGGTGGGGGCAGTACCCAAGGTTTAGGGTTAAACCCTAAACCAATGAAAAAAGTCAAGTCACCTTGTCCATGCCTAGAGGCTCCAGGACGAACTGCTCCACCTGGTGTCAAGACTTCAGTTGATTCACTTTTGCTATATGAGCTATAGTGTAAACTCCTTATAAAGGGGAGTAGTATAGGAGATGTTAAGGGGGATTCTCTGAGTTTAGACGATGGCTCATATGGGGGGGAGATCATAGCATATCTCTGCAATGCACCCTGTAGAATAAACCCTAAACCCCTCCTAAACCTCAACCCTAAACCCTGAATCCTAAACCCTAAACCCCCCTATTCAGTGCCAGTAGGTTTAGATCGGTTCCGGTGCGGCCTGCGGGTCGGTCAAGGTGCTCCATTGACCCTGTCTCATCTCCCTGGCAAACATGACAAAAGGAAGCAGGTTTAGGGTTTAGAAATTAGGGCTTGCTGGTTGTTAGCGGGGAAAAAGGAAGAATGGAAAAGAGCAATGGAAGCGATTCTTGGATTCAAGGGCTCAGGGAATGGAAAACACATAGAAACTGAACTACAATGTTGCTTGGGAATATATACGGGTTCCATTCCTCCATTCCCTTCTGACAGCCCGTACAATGCAGGAGCAACAAGATCAACAAGCCCAGGCCACGTGACAGACGCCAGCAGCACTACGCAGTGAATGGCCAAGCTCAACTCATCCTGATGGGGATTGCAGGGTATATGTTGGGGTTATATGGGGGATACTGGAAAAGAAAATGGAAACTACCACTGTAGTATACTGGGGTTCTATGGAGTTCATGGAAAAGAAAATCGAAACTACTACCACCATAGAACTGCACAGCACGTCACTGGTAATGTAGAACCTGCACCATTCCGATAACCCT